GGAGAGGAGAGGAGAGGAGAGGAGGGCAGTCGGACATTTTCTTTACAATAAAAACAAGGGCTCCACCTCAATGCGAGTGGAGTCTAGGGTCCCCTAAAAATACCCATCTAGAGAGAGAGCTGGAGGGACAGAGCAGGAGAGAGAAGGGGAATGGGCTTGTACAATGGCATCTTCCCGATTTGAGCTGCAGTCCACGGGATCTCAGCTCCTCCTCGACTTCGAGTGCTGGATAAGCCACTGTAGGGTGATGTCTGTGAAGGCAAAGGACATGGACCGGTTGTCACCCCCTCCTGTACTTGGGCAAACAGCCTGGGATGCTGCTCCCGTGGGCAGAAGCTGCCCGCTCCCCACCGCACCCTGAGCCCCGCACTGGAGCTGTCGGTACTCACCGATGTTGTCCTTTTCTTTGCAGGAGATGGAGTAGCAACAAATCTCTCGGTCCTGGATGGCAGAGAGGTTCCTGTGGGAAGAGAAGTGAGCTCTGGCTGCAGACACCTGGGGCTGTGTGTCGGTGGTGATGGGAGATGCCTCCGGGCAGCCTTCTGAAAGGTCCCTTTGGACCTCGGCTCTGAGACGGGGGACATCTTGCAGGGCAATGTCTCCCCAGGCTCGCAGGGACCTGCATGTGGGTTGGGCAAGGACACCAGCACACCATGCCTACGACTGATAGCCAGAAGTGGGCTGTGGGGGCTACGTGATGAGGCAGGAGGGACCCGACCCCATGGAGAGCCTGGCCACAAAATCACGCAGCTTCCCTCCCTAAACCTCAGTCACACGGCCCTGCGGCGAGACGGGGCAGGGGAGGTTTGGGAGCGGCTCAGGGCTGGCAGCACAGGACCTGCGTAGACACCCACGGGCTAGAGGAGATCTCGGAGGGGTGGCCGGGGGTGGGATGCTGCAAATCAGCACAGCATCCCAGTCCCTCATCTGCAGGGGAAGGGATCGCCGCCGGCAGCATGGAGGTGGGCAGGAGGCAGCATTGGCTGTCAGGATGCCACATGCTGACATGGCAAAGGGTGGCAAAAGAAGGGAGAGGTGCGTGGATGGTGTCACACACTGGAGCAGGATCCGACCTCCACGCACGGAGGGCTGGCCGCTGCTGGGGGAGCAGCACCCGCACCATGCAATGGGGCAGAGCTGGGAGAGGGTGATGGGAGCAGCACCCGTGTGGGAGCTCAGCTCCACCGCCGAGTGGTGCCAGGTCGTGCCGGGCCCCAACGCCACCCTGT